AAGTATGCAAGGGTTATATGAATTACCAGCTTACACGCATGTTCACATGTGCATATCTGTAAGTATGCAAGGGTTATATGAATTACCAGCTTACATATATATATATATATACCCACACATATGCATATGTTCATATGACATCTTTATACCTGCCCGCACATCTGTATGTTAGTCTCAGTCTTTTTTTAGGGAAAAAGAAACACATTATAGGGCTGAAATAGGTTATGGGTGAAGGTACAGTTCTACGTTGAAATTTGTTTGTAGCCTTAAAACACCTATAAATTTAACCATCCAAGGCAACTGAGAAGTGGTAACTCATTGAAAATGCAGGTTCCAAGGCCCAGACCTGTAAGTGCTCACCCAGCAACTGTGTGGGAGGAGTTGTGTAGCAACCAGCCCTCCAGATAGTTCCGATTGTTCATCACACCGACGCGTGAGAACCGCTACATTTGAACATTTCCTGGGATGGCTATAACCCAGGGTCACAGGTAGAAATGGAGAGCCAGTAAGAACCGGGGAAGAAAGCAGCCACTGTACGGAGCTCTTGCAAAGAGGCTGAGGAGACCCAGCAGCGGGGTCAGGGGAGTTTGTGGCGTGGCGGTGGGAACGTGGGTCACAGCCCACATATCACTCCTACAGCCACATGCAGGCACCTATTGTGTGTGTGCACGCCAGTTCTGGAGCTTGAACCCAGTGCCTTGCACTCTCGTGAGGCTTTTTGCTCTACCACCCGAACCATACCTCCACTTCTGGTGTCTGTCTGTTTGTTTTGCTGGTTGACTGGAGATACGAGTTCCATAAAGTTTCCTGCCTAGGCTGACTTTAAACCATGATCCTAAATCCAAGCCCCAAGTAGCTAGGATTATAGGGGTGAGCTGCTGGCACCCAGTTTAGGTCCCGAATTAAATCACTGCTACCACTAAGCCAAGAACTGCTGGCCTTGGAAGTTCTTGCTCTTCAGTGGGTCCTAATGGGGGAGACCCTTTTACCCCTCAAGTTACTTACAGCTGGAATCTGACAGAGGAATGACTTTTCCCAGCGTGATCCTGCCAGTCTCTTCCGGGCCCTTTCAACAGCTCTTGCAACTGCGCTTCCTGAGTCCAGATATAATCTTTACCTCACTGGGGTGTGTGTGTGTGTGTATGTGTGTCTGTGTGTGTGTCTGTCTGTGTGTGTGTGTCTGTGTGTGTATGTGTGTGTGTATGTGTCTGTGTCTGTGTGTGTGTGTGTGCAGGGAAAGTTAGGAATTTCCTGGGGTTGTGTGTGTGTGTGGTGTGTGTGTGTGTGCAGGGAAAGTTAGGAATTTCCTGGGGTTGTGTGTGTGTGTGTGTGTGTGCAGGGAAAGTTAGGAATTTCCTGGGGTTGTGTGTGTGTGTGGTGTGTGTGGGCACGCATGTATGTATGTGTGTGTGTGTGTGTGTGTGTGTGCAGGGAAAGTTAGGAATTTCCTGGGATTGTGTGTGTGTGTGCAGGGAAAGTTAGGAATTTCCTGGGATTGTGTGTGTGTGTGGTGTGTGTGGGCACGCATGTATGTATGTGTGTGTGTGTGTGTGTGTGTGTGCAGGGAAAGTTAGGAATTTCGTGTGTGTGTGTGTGTGTGTGTGCAGGGAAAGTTAGGAATTTCCTGGGGTTGTGTGTGTGTGTGGTATGTGTGTGCGCGCGTGTATGTATGTATGTGTGTGTGTGTGTGTGTGTGTGTGTGCAGGGAAAGTTAGGAATTTCCTGGGGTTGTGTGTGTGTGTGGTGTGTGTGTGCGCGCGTGTATGTATGTGTGTGTGTGTGTGTGTGTGCAGGGAAAGTTAGGAATTTCCTGGGATTGTGTGTGTGTGTGTGTCTGTGTCTGTGTGAGTGTGTGTGTGTGTGTGTGTGCAGGGAAAGTTAGGAATTTCCTGGGGGTTTCCCTGGGCTAAAGGAGAGCTTGACGGGAAGAAGGTGCAGGGGTAAGGATAAGCCTATGAAAACGGCAGGGCAGGAAGTGAGCATTGACGCTCTTCAGCAGGTTTATAGAGGCTGTGTTGTCATCCAGGACGTTTCCCTGGGAAGGAAACCCCCGGCTCTGCAGCTTCCTGGCCAGTGTGAGCGCCACCAGCCTGCTGTAGCCTTTCCTGCGGTGGTCAGGCAGAGTGTAGCCATGGCACATGGTGGCAAACTGGTCTGTGATGCCCCAGGACACGGGCTGTCCCTTGTCATCGCGCACACAGGCACTGGGGAAGCAGGAGATGAGCCGGGCAATGTATCGGAGACACTGTTCATTGCCACCTCGAGACCAAGTCCGGTTGAGGAGATCTGCGTCAGAAACACTCAGGTAGGTAAGTCGCGGGGGAGACGCCATTCTACAAGAAAAGCAACAGTGAGGAAAAGAATGAGCTCAGCATCTTTCCTGACACCCCGGGGAAGCCCTTCCTGAGAGGATGCCTGGAATATTCGAGAAGTTAGCAGCCAGAGCTTCCTGCGGGACAAGGGACTCCTAGGGTTTCCTTCGGATAAGACAAGAGACTCATAAGCAAACTCAAGTCTTGCCCTATAAGTTTATGCTCACTCATTCCTGGCCACAGAACAGATATTAAGGAAAGTGTTTCTCTTTGAAACCAAACTGAAGTTTGGCCTGCCATTGACTCCATTCCTTCAGTCTCTAGGACATGAACTGCAACCTAACCTGAGCTGGGGTGATTTATATACTAATTTAGGAATCTAACAGATGCTTGAACTCCAGCCAGTCAGGAGCAGCCAAGTGATTGGAATCTTTCCCAAAGAAGGTAAATGACTAGCTGTGGCCAATCAGATGACATCTCTAGTTTGTGACTGCATCTGGCCTATAAAAACTTCTTGCCAGGGGCTGGGAAGGTGGCTCAGTAGTAGAGTGCTTGCCTTGCATGCATGAGGCCCTGGGTTTGATTCCTCAGCACCAAATAAGCAGAAAAAGCCCAAAGTGATGCTGTGGCTCAAGTGGTATAGCGCTAGCCTTGAGCTGAAGAGCTGAGGGACAGAGCCCAGGCTCAGAGTTCAGGCCCCACAAACAAAAAAACAAAAACAAAAAAAGAATTCATGCCACTCTGAGAAATGGAGTTCTCTGAATATTTTCAGGTTTTGAATGCTGCCAGATTTATGTGTCTTCCTGGCAGTACTGGGTCTGAACTCAGACCTTGGAACCATGTCTCCAGATTCTTGAGCTTTCTTTGCTTCCAACTCTACTAAAGCTCACTTATTTAATGTTTCATTAATACTATCTTTAAATTTTTTTAAAAAAATCTTCAGAATTAATTCTTTTGTCTTGTGTCTGTTGAAACCTCCTCTCAGGATTTAAACAAGCTCAGATTTTTCTTTTGGAGCCCTCATATCTTTCTCAGTAGAATAAGAATTTTAGCATTTAGAATACTTCTGCCTTTAGAGATCCATAACCAGAAACAAAACAAGTTGTGTGCTATGCCAGGTGTATGAACATATTGTGGAAACATTAGCTGTTCCAGCCCTTTCCGCAGACTGCTTTTCTGTAGATTTAATAATCTGGATTTTTTTCTGGTCAGTTTTTATAGGCCACTTTTCTTTACTATATTCATTCTAATTTAGTAATTTACTATTTAAATCTCTGACATCAAGGTAAAGCAACTGATATAATTCTTATGTATCTGACAGTTTTTTCAATCTCTCTGTCTCTGTCTCTTTCTCTCTCTTGGTGCCAGTACTGCAGTACTGGGGCTTGAACTCAGGGCCTCACAGACTAATATTGCTTTTAAGAACTACATACAAATATAAGGCTGGTCATGCTTTGAAATATGCTTTCCTCCTTGAGTTAATCAATATCATAAAACCATTCACAATGAACAGTCAGAGACTGATTTTGTAGATCTATTACTTTTTCTTTCTGGTCCTCGGGCTTGAAATCAGGGCCTGGGCTCTGATTTTTCTGGTCAAGACTAGAATCTACAGCTTGAGTCACAGCTCTAGCTCTGGTATTTTGGTGGTTAATTGGAGATATGAATCTCACAGACTTTGCTGCCTAGGTTGGCTTTGAACCATGATCCTTAGATCTCAGTCTCCTGAGTAGCTAGGATTACAGGTGTGAGCCACAAGCACCTGGCTCTGTTACTTTTATAAAATATGGCACTGTGTTTTTGTTTTCCTCAGTAGTTGTAAAGTGTTAGGTCACATTCTCAGTGCATTGTCCACTTTGGCATTGGGCCAGGAAGCTGTCCACTAACGAGGGAAAAGTCTGGCTTAGGATGTTCAATCCAATTTGAAAATGAACTTCAAAGCAAGTGCAAAAAAAAGCCTCAGGCAGAAATATTATACACAAAAACGCTTGGAGAAAATGTGTTAGGAATAGTTTATGTTAGATACAACATGGCCATGTTAGCCGTAACTCTAACCTGACATTTGTGTGCAGAGTATTTGGAATATAGTCCACAAATTTGGGAAACATGTTTGGAATTAGAAACCAAACATCACCAGTAGAAGGAAACATAGGCCAAATCCTCCATGACATTGGAACAGTCAGTGAGTTTTTAACAAGACCCAAAACACAGGAGAAACCCAAAACCCAAAACACACAAATGAGATTACAGCCTGGCGCTGGTGGCTCACGCCTGTAATCCTAGCTACTCAGGAGGCTGAGATCTGAGGATCACTGTTCAAAGCCAGCCCGGGCAGGAGAGACTGTGAGACTCCTATCTCCAATAAACCACTAGAAAACCGGAAGTGGCGCTGTAGCTCAAGTGGTAGAGTGCTCGCCTTGAGCTGAAGAGCTGCGGGACAGTGCCCAGGCCCAGAGTTCAAGCCCTATGACCGACAAACAAAAAACAAATGAGATTACACAAAACTAAAACACTTTTGCACAGCAAGATAAACAAGTAAAAGAATAATGAAATAGGGGCTGGGAAGGTGGCTCAGTGGTAGAGTGCTTGCCTTGCATGCCTGAGGCCCTGGGTTCGATTCCTCAGCACCACATAAGCAAAATGAAAAAAGCCGGAAGTGGCACTGTGGCTCAAGTGGTAGAGCACTAGCCTTGAGCTGAAGAGCTGAGGGACAGTGCCCAGGCCCAGAGTTCAGGCCCCACAACCGGACCCCCCCCCAAAAAAAGAATAATGAAATAACCTATTGAATGGGAAAGAAATATTTGCAAGGGGTTGAATATCCCAAATAGAAGAAGCTAGAAAAAATAATCCATTAACAACCCCCCAACCAACCCAGTTTAAAAATGGGCTATAGACCTACATAAACCTACAAATGACCTATAAGTATATGAAAAATGCTCACATCATCAAGCATGAAAAATTCAAATCCAGTTATCACCTGACTCTAAGAAGAACCACTATTAGCAAAAAGTCCAAAGATAGCCCATGCAGTTGGGGACAAGGAGGACAACAAGCCCTTGCACAATCAGGAGGACGCAAATAAACACAGCTGTTATGGAAACTAAAGTGGAGGTTCCTCGAAAACCCACAAACAACACTCTGCTATGATCCGGAAGTCCTTCTTCTGGACATACAGGCAAACGAAGTGAAATCTATAGGCAGAAGAGGCCTCTCTACCTCCATCTTCTCTGCAGCTCTGCTGACCACAGGGGAAAGAATGGAATCAAGCTAAGTGTCTGTCAACTGACAGATGGCTAAAGAAACTGTCAGAGATCCATAATGGATAACTGCTCAGCCTCAAGAATGGATTAAAGCATAGTGTTCACAACAACATAGATGGAGCTGAAAGGTACTGTATTAAATGAAAGAAGCTAAGAACAGAAAGATTTGAGCCACAGAACCTCATTTGTTTGTAGCAGCTGCCAACACTGATATGACAAAAGAGAGCTGACATAGTGGTTCCCAGAGCACAGAGAACAGGGACTTTCTTTATATCATTGTAAGAATGCTTATCTTTTAAGGACACATCTCAGAAGATTTCAACATTTAAGGATATTTATTACTCTGATCAAAATAAGCTGAGATGTGCAAAGATTATGTAGGTCTATGGATTAAACAGTATTATCAGTGCAGTTCTAGGAGGTCCTCTGTACCATTCTCTCAACTTGCATGTATGTTTAAAGTTTTCCTAAATGACAGAGCAATGAAAGATAGGCCAGGTGCTTTCTTATGAACTACGGCATCGATTATTCTTTAGGTTTATTCTGTGTGCAGCCATTTCTTCAACATTAACCACAGAACTAACATGGTTCATTCTCACCCAAAACATATGAAGAAGACATTCTACCCTAAATCACTTTTTACTACTATCAATTAGTTGTTCATGTTAAAAGGGGGGTTCCTTTTATTGTGTTGATCTATAAATGCAATCTCTCTTTTCTTCTCCCTCCTTCTCCTTCCCAAACCAGCTCCACCTTGCTTGATTCTTTGCACAGAATATAAAGTACTTTGACTATATTTGTCCTTCCCCTCCCTCCACCCTTGGCACCCTCTCCTACTTGTAGCTACGGCCAAACAAGACATGTTCCAACTTTCTAGTATCAGTTCTTGTTAAAATGCATGCTAATTGTTTCGAGGAGTTTCATCACGATATCATACATACCTATACAACATTTTCATCAGACTGATCATTGAAAAGAAATACAGGCTCAGAGGTTTTGAGTATGACAAAGCATTCAAAGAAGTGTAAATGCAGATACAAACCAACATACGTTTTTAAAGATTGCTTCCTGCAGGTGGAGTTTTGGGGAATATGTTTTTGACTTTATAATTTAAAGATCTGCATCAAAAGTAGTTCTACTTTATAGGACACAGCAAGGGATAAGGGGAATGTTTTTAACTTTTAGTGCCTCACACTTAAAAGCTCAAAATATATGCATATAAGTATACACACATACAAGTTTACATGCATGCAAATACACACATGCAAGCATGCTTATATATGCATAGCTATATACATACACACATAAACACACATATTTAGGTTCAGTGGCTCAATTTCCCAATGCCTAATATTATGTAATTGTACCAAGCTCTCTGGGTATTGTTAGAGGGTCATTCTGTAACAGTAAATCCTGCCCAGAATTCAGAAACTGGTTTACATACAGGAAACTGGTGTCTGGCAGAGAGGAAACAGGAGAAAAATGAACAGCCTTGAAGGAGGTCAGCTTTACATCCAACTGCTTCGAACTGGCAACAGCCTTGGAAATATCACAGAGCTCACTCTGCAGCCCTGTACATAGACCAACATAAAAAAGTGGCATTTTATTTGAAAATGAAAATTTTCTGCATGTTTGTTCCATGCTGATGACCGTCAATACCAGCAGGTGTTACCCTAACACTATTACATGTATTTATAAATCACCACAGGTGTTCTTCATCTCATTCTCAAGTGTTTTTTGTGGGATTTTCTGATTCCCAACGTGGGTCTATTGTCACAAATTGTCAAACTGAAGGACGTTTCTACTGGAGCTATCACATTTGGAATTTCAGACCAATCTCCAAGTTCTTAAAGTAAAGAAGCCCACCCATAGCTTTAAAAGTCTATGATGGAGCCATTGAGATAGAAGCGCAGGGATTTAGACTGGTTTTGCATGGAAGACCAGGTTTAGTTTCTCTTCCAGCCTGTTACAAAAATCACCAGTGTGGTATTCAAGAAATAAACTCAAGGTGACACCTATCCAAAATTAATTTACCTACGTCCCACTTACTGAACGTAGCTATTATTTGTCACCCTTACTCAGCACTTGTATACAAAGCACTGGTATGTGTACTGTTGCACAGCGATGTGCAAAGTGGCGTGACATGGTTGTTTCTGTTTTGCTGTTGCTCCTGTGGCCCTAGGGTTTGAACTGTGAACATGCTAGGCAAGTGCTCTTACCCTCTACCCAGTGTCCCAGCTCTTCATGTGAAGTTTTGGCTTTGATACAGGGTTTCAGTCACTGCCTAGGGTGGTCTTCAACTCACTGCCCTCCTGCCTCTGCCTCCTGGGCAGCTGGGATGACAGGCACTCTCACCACGCCTGACTCTGGTCTCTGTCTGCCAAGAGTTGATGACATGACCACTTTCTACCTCTCCAAAGCTCCGTTTATTCATCTCTTTCCAGTCTGACGAATTTAATCATCTGGGAACTGCCACTGCATCTCCATTCCATCTATAAAGGCTTGTTGTCTTCCCTCTTGTGAGATACAAATAGAAATGAGGGGGGATGACCTCACCTTGTATTTGAAAAACTTGGTCCCAGTTAATAACACCATGTTCTCCCAATAGCTGTTGGTAAGCTTTGGCATCCGTATAGAACACAGCATAGGCATTGGTGTAATGGTCAAGGTTATCCGTCTCAGCCTAGGACAGCAGAGAGAGTCAAAAAACTTAAACATATCCTGTGGACGAAACACATTCCAGAAAGATCAGATGGCATCAGTTGGGCATGTCTAGCTAATTCTCCATCAACAAAATCAGCCATTTAAAAACAATGATCAGAGAAGAATGTTGTGACCTTTGCTTGATCGACAAAGACATCAGGAAGATTTTAAGATATTTCATATTTTTTCTAGGATTTTTATTTATAAAAATAAAAAGGAGTCAAAAGTGGTAGTATGTACCTAAAGTCTCAGCTCAGGGAACTGTTGGGAAGCGGAAAGAGAAATCCAGGAAGCCAGGAGTTCAAGCCAGCATGGACAATACATCAAGATCTCATCTCAAAAAGAAAAACCAGGAGGAAGGGGATGGCTGGGGTATAGCTCAGTGGTCAGTGTACAAGTCTCTGAATTGTGTAAAATATAAAATACTATAAGTAAAATAATAAAATGGAAAGGTAAAGGTTCAGTGGCTCTGTCCTGTGCAGTTCTAAGAGTCCACTCGTGTAAAGGGCCGCCCTCTTTGATAGCTGGAGCATCTCTGTGGTGTCAGAGGCAGACTGGAGGTAAGCGTGGTCTCTTCTCCCACATTAGTGAAGTCATCAGAGAGATGGAAACATTGCTCAGGGCCCAGCGTTCAGTGTACACATCAGCCACATGTGCTCCATTCATCCAGAAAAGGAAACTCTTTGAACTAGGGGTCTTCTACGTGCCTGATGCCCTGAAGCCATTCAAGTCACACTTCAATGGTGAAATTATCTCCTCTATACCCTGTGGAGGAGATAATGGGTGTGACGACTCCAGCTATGTGATTCTCTTCACCTAATCTGTCTCTTCCTGTGTGATGCCTATTATTGCTTTTATTTGGCTGCCTTTCAAAATTGTACCTCTCTCTGTCGCCGGGTGATGACAGCTTTGAAGTCTGGCCATGAGTCCAATACCACTTCCTTTTGAAAGGGATTTCCACGATTGATGTTCATCACTGCTCCGTAAACCTGAGCCAGAGACACAAGTCAGTCACTCCCTGTGCGGCTGTGAAACGGTGCATCTGTGGGACGGTGCAGCTGGGCAGCAGGCAGCATTTCCGCTTTCTTGCTCTACTATGTATTTAGGGCCACAAGAGGGAAAATACATATATCCACATACATATATTCACATGCATGTATATACAATGTACACATGGGCTTCTTCTGGATAAAAACCCTCCCTTTAATCACACAGCAGTGAGAGGAACTGAATTGATAAGCTTAGTAGGTGTTATACACATAGGTCAGCAATAAATATTTGCTGGATGAATCTACAGCCAATGTATAGGTTTGGGGTTCATGTATATTTTAAAAGCTCCTCAGACAATTCAGCTGCTTTTGAACTTTAGTTCCCACAAACACTTTGTAAAATATAATGACTCCTCCAGTGCTTGATGATAGCTAAACATCATCCAGGAACAAGAAAAACCCAAACTAAAAATTAAAACTTGAGTTTTACATTTGGGGGAGTAAGGCTGTATACACTCTCCCTGAGGTCTATGTTTACGTCTATGTTTATGTCTCATTCATTGTCATACCCACAAATCCTGAAAAGACCAATGGGAAGCCTGGTGGCTGAACAATACTGGAGTAATATACAAATTCTCTGGTATAAGAGCTCTCAATGTTTTTCTCTCCTGAGGAAAATATCTGTCTTAAAATGTATGTGTTCTTTGCCAGGTACTGGTGGCTCACACCTATAATCCTAGCTACTCAGGAGGCTAGGCAGGAAAGTCCATGAGACTCTTGTCCTCACTTAACCACTAGAAAAGCTGGAAGTGGTGGAGTGCTAGCCTGAAGCAAAAGAAGTTCAGGGACAATGACCAGGCCCTGAGTTCAAACCCCAGGACCAGTACAAAATAAATAAATAAATAAACAAACAAGTAAGCAAATAAATAAATGTGCTTGAAGAGATGGGCAAGCTGTGGTAGCAATAAGGTTAGTGGACTTGCAGGCAAATACTGATAGCATTTTTCATAATAAATGAGAACTGAAAACAACCTTGGTGTCCATTCACAGTGGAACAAATGAATGAATGAATTGTGATATATCGCTCTTACACATAACAAAACAGCAATGAAACCAATAGATCAGGGGTACGGGGAACTCTATGAATCTCACTAAAAAGTTGTGCAGAAGAAGTGGATTCCAGAACAGACATTGATTGTGTCATTCGATCTGGATTACATTCAGAAGAGGCAACTATAACTTTGGAAATCAGGACAGTGGCATTTGTTAGCAGGCAGGGAAAGGTATCCATTGGAAAGAAGCGGGGGAAGGGAGAAGCGGCCTCTGAAGTAAAGTTCTTTTCCTCACCAGAATGGAGGTCACACAGGTATTTGCTTTGTAAAAATCCACTGAGCTGCAAAATTGTATTATGTGCATTTGATAGGATGTGTTAGACCTCAATGAAGAAATCAGGATTTTACTGGCATTGAGACTAGTTTTACTTACCTCCTTTATCAGAAACTCAACTCACTGAAATAACTCACCTTTCCTCCACTAGAACATTCTATACTTTCCTCTGTTCCACCCAATCTGGGAACTCATTCAAACACTCACAGCAAGTGTCTTTCCAAATTGAGTGTGGTTTGTGTTCATGTGTAACCAGAATTAAACCAGGAGCAAATCCAAGAATAAAAGGAACCTGGAAGGGCCATGCTGATTCTGTTAATCATTAAATTCTACAAAATTACGTGGATTGAAATTGTTTCCCATGAAGATATTGTACATTCTTATTCAAAACATATCCTAAATGTGATTTTAGGAGGTTCAGAAGTTTGAAAGGGAAAAGCCTTTTAATACCCAGATCCTGAAAACAAAATAGTTTGTTTGGATAACATTTGGAACCAACTGATGGGTTTGGCACTGGTACAAACAAACTCTTCCAACAGGGACTAGTAGTCGTTGTGGGAGTGTCTAGAAGGAAACGAAATTGCTGTGCAAAACAGCAGTTCAAGTGTGGAGGAAATTTGGAAGGCAATTTAGACACTTAAACTCTAAGCTAGAGGGCTGGGGTGTGACTGTGTGCTACCTGCCTACCTAGATCATAAACCCTGAGTTCAAGCCCAACTATGGCCAAAGAACAATAATAAATAAACCCGACTAAGCTAAGGTTGTAAAATATGCTTCTCTAAACTGCAAGGAATGAAGGGAGGGGAACAAAACAGGATTTTTAAATTAAGTTTTATCTTCTCTAACTTTTGTGACCATGTGCAGATCACAGAATGCGTTTTAGTTCTTTCTAAACATCAGCCAGACTTATAGACATCTTATCAAAAGAAAGGAAAGCTGACAGTGTGTGTGTGTGTGTGTGTGTGTGTGTGTGTGTGTGTGTGTGTGTGTCTGTGGCTTGAATTCAAGGCCTGGTCTTAGAGTTTTTTGCTCAAGGCAATTACTCTACTTGACCTACATCTCCACTTTAGGCTCTTTGATGATTAACTGGAGATAGGAGTAGCATGAATTTTCCAACCAGGAGTGGGTTTGAACCTCAGTCCTCAGATTTCAGCCTCCTGAGTAGTAAGGTGTACAAAGCCTGATATCTAATTCCATTCATTTACCCAGTCTCAGCATTCAGAGGGAAACAATTTGGGCAGATGGTTCATTTCATTTTTTTTCCTGTGGCCATATAATCCCATACCATTACTCTGATGCTCCCTACCACTTAGAGTTTAAGCATGCGCCTTAAGGCAAGATGACAAAATTTAATCAGCAAAGTATCTATGATGGAGGACTCTGGAATCCTATTTGTTCAGATTTTAATTTCAATAAATATGGACTATTTAGATGTTGAAAGTGCAGTACTCTGACTTCAATCTGATTCATTACTTTTTCATGAATGACTTGAATTCTACTCACATTAGGGAACCAAATGTCAGGCTCATGTATTTGCTCAAAAAGCAGCTCTCAAAAGCAACGGCACTGCATATAGCAATGACAGTCTTCCATTTTCACTTTGATTTTTGTGCTAATATCAGAGTTGAACCCAAGCCTCTCACTCTCACCCTGCTGTTCCTGCTTACAGCTGGGCTCCTGCCTCTGGTCAGGCTTCTTGTTGGTTAGTTGGAGACAGGGCTGCACAGACATTTCCACTGGGGCTAGCTTTGATGCAGGTCTCATCTGACTGAGAAGCTACAATACAGGCATGAGCCACTGGCTCTTGGCTTAGTGTGACATTTATTGTAATCTTTGATTAATGACATCTTTTCCAGTAGTATCAAGTTATCTTAGCCCAGATTTCAGGTCAGAGTTGATGAACAACAGAGACACTGAAAATGCTTATGACAACCAATAAATTTTAGCTCCATTTTCATGTAGGCTATGTTTGAAACTTCAATATGATCCAATCTATACTCTTCTATCATTTAGAATATTGTATAACTTGAATTTACCTGAGAAATAACCTATCCCACCATTAACTACATTTTCTTAGTAGTCCTCGAGAGTAATTGTAAAAAAAAATAATATTCTGGATCTTACCCACAAGGCGTTGAATGATTCTTTGCCAGAAGTAGGCTGGGAAACTATGCCTAATAAGTATGTCTTATCATGTAACAGAAAAAGAAAGGAAAAAAGAGAGAAAGAGGAAAAGGAAAACCAGTCACAAGTCTGACATCGTGAACTGAAACGAAACTCTTTAAGTTGTATATGACCTTGAGTGACTCCGGAAAATGACTCCTCAGCATCTTTTCCAGTGTCAGTAGCTTGGAGGAACAGTTCAGCACCAACATCTTCAGAGCAGTGCAATTCCCCTCCTGCTTAGGAACTGGAAAACACACACTCAGTGTTTGCCTTGTAGCATCTGAGCCCACCTAGCAATAAGCTTACATTGCTACGTGTATTCAACGCTACGGGGACTTCCACTGCTCTCTCTGGAAGGAAGGAGGAGGAGGAGGGAGCAAGATGGATAAAGCCGGGAGTACTTGGGATGGACAGGACAGTGTTAAAGACATAATTCTAGAAGGATGAACCCAGCTCCACTGGGCTAAATCTTTCCCTTATGCACACTCAATCTACTCTAAACTCTTCCTTTAAGGCACCTCTGGAAGTTCCAGTTTGACCTTTAGCTGTGTTTCCTTTGACTTATAACATCTCCTGTTGACTTATAACATCACCTGTGGGATGGGATGCATGAAGTTCGGAAGTGGTCAGATGGGCCACCGCATATAGAATACCTGCCATGGGCCAGGCACCCAGCAAAGTAGGAACTGTCTAAACAGCTGTTGAAGAGATACTATAAATCCCAGGGTAACAATCCTAGGGTTAAGTAGATAAACTCTTTTCTCACAAATCGTGTAAAGAATGGGTGGGGGGAAACCCTGAGTAATTCAGGTTTATAAGGAAAACCTTGGAAAAGAAATGCCCAGATGGATGATAAAGAACCAGACACAGGCAAAAAGCTGAAACTCTTTTAACCAGGTAAATGAATCAGCTTGAATCAGCTTTCCATGCTGGCGTTTCAGACATGGCCACCATGCCTAACTCCGTTCATTTTTGTTTCTCTTTCCTTCCCTCCCCTTCCTCACTTTCTCCATCTTTCCTTCCTTCCTCCCTCCCTACCTCATCCCTTCCTTCCTGCCTGCCTCCCTCCCTCCTTCCCTTCTTTCCTAACTTCCTAACTTCTTTCTTTTATTCCTTCCCTTGGCTTTGCGCCCCCAGCTCTGCTAGCTTTAATTATTATTATTTTTTTGGATAGGATCTTACGGTTTTTACCGGCTTGGCCTCAGACTGCAATCCTCTTAAAGTTTTGTGTCTGACATCATCTTACAAATTAATGCAGTAAAGAAATGAAATGAAACTCTTTAAGCTGTATATGTGCCACCAGCTCACTGATGAATGGTGGTCTCCGTGGCTCTCCTCACACTTCAATCCTTCTCATCTCTGCCTGACCGGTAGCTAGCTAGTAGGCCCACACCACTGTGGCTGTCCTTTAATTTCTTAGTGGTCAAAATTCCCTCAATCAGGCGTTCATCTCACTTTCTAGATTGAGCTCCTGCAACTCACAAACAAATTACTCCGGAGGGTCAAAATCAGAAAGGCAATCCCCCATGGGTTCACACCGAGAAGACACAGTAATTAACAGAGAACATTCAAAAATACCCATTCAGTAAACAGTCATGGATTTCATAGAGATCTTTTGCTCAATGCAAAGATTTGTGTGTTTTTAAGATGTCACAACAAAGAATACAGAACTCCCCATAAATGGAGAAGACATGTTTCCGAGTGTCTTCTTAAACATTTACAGCTCGGCGCTACCAGGGTTTTCTTTTTGTGGACAGCATGATTTTCGCTCCTCTTCTCTGTTGCTCTAGCTTCATTGCCATCACAACTCAGTTTCACACTTTGCAGAGCTTATTTCCCCCTATCAAAACTACGATTTCTTTCAATAAATTATACTTTATTTCAGTTCTCCTCTATCTGTTCCATTCCTTCTTTCAATGACAAACTGGTGGTTAGAAAAGTATTCTTTCAATGAAAAAGTGCTCACTTACTGTTGTGAGATTTCAGTCTGAGCGGAGTTCTTCGAGCTGTGTATCTGTGAGGCAAGCTCTTCTGAATAAATGGTAAATTTATACGTCAAGGCTATTTTCCTAATTATTCCTTGGTGGAAAGAGAAGGGAGGGAAAAGCAGTGCCCACGCCGCAGCAGTGGGAGGAGTTTATGCTTTTGCTAATCACAGTGAAAAACATCTCAAAAGTAGCAGAGGTATTTAGTTCCCTTCCTTCTGTTCTATAAACTGCTACGACATAAGAGCTAAATGAATACTGACTTTGTGATGGGTATTTCTAAGATGGAAGACGTATGGATTCAGCATGAAATAGGAATGGAACTCGTCACCCGACTTATAAAAAAATAATGTAGGCATTTTTAACTATGATAAAGATATGCCTAACTCCTTGGGCATTTTTAACTATACTGAGGAAAATGATTTTACTGCTTTAAACTTCAAATGCTGAGAAGGGTCTTTAAAAAGGGTATTTGTGAAATTGGAAGTGTGCTTGAGAGTTCTAATTCTTTCATTGATATTTAAAGTCATTCACAGTTGATTTCCCTCTAATGGCTGGGATTTTAGCCACCATGCTAGTATTTACTTAAACATTGTAGCATATGAATCAACAGCACATGGGAAAAATAAGTAATACACATATCTCCACTGTGGGTGGAGACAGCTTCTGTTGATTGTGGTCACATGAGAGATGCTGTGTGAGGTGTTTATGTTTCGTAAACTAGCAAATTGGGGCGTTCTATACCCAAAGACACAGGGTTAAGAAATACAATGGTCAGATGGTAATTGAAAGTGACTAGAGAAATTGTTTTTGATGTTTAGATGTCAACTGCCTTGAGTTAATAAGCCTGATATAGAGAGTAAAGATGTTACTGAGAGAATGAATATCTATTTGTGGTTCTAAGAATCCTACATTTGTGTAATTCTTTCTAAATATTAACAGAATAGAATGGACTTTAAAAGTTGAGAAGCAATTTGCGTAAGAGAAACTATGCTGGGATTGTGATATTTTCAGGAGAATTTTTTTAAATTTATTATACAGTGATATTACATTTGCATAAGTGAGGTAAAGAGTACATTTTGAACAATGTCACTCTTTCCCTCACTGTCTTCTGTTTTTTTAGGAAAACGTTTAAAAGTTAGAGATCAAGTTATCTATAGACTCAGAAAGATACAAAGCTATCTCCAAATGGGAGTTACACCTTGTTTCCAAGTGAATCCAGCACAAACTTCTATTCAAAGTTCATTGTCCCCTATAAGTATCAGAACTAATTAGAACGGTTTCTTTCTTGTGTGTGTGTGTGTGTGTGTGTGTGTGTGTGTGTGTGTGTGTGCGCGCGCGCGCGCGCGCGCATGCGTGTGTCTGCGTGGGGAGGTGCATGTGTGAAAAGGAAAAGCAGCACCAAGGGAAATTGTATCCATATGTTTTGTGATGAATTTAAGACTTCATTTACATCTAGGCCCTGGGCAGCTCAGACCTGTAGTGCCAAGCTGCATGGTGGTTGGAGGGGACTCCCAGGATGCAAGCAGGAGATTCTATCTGAAAAGATAAACAAAAAAGGTTGAAGCATAACTTCAGTGGTAGAATGGCCTAGAATTCAATGCCTAGTTCCACTAAAAGGGAGGGGGAGAAAGGGAGGAATAGAGAAAGAAAGGAAGGAAAAAAGAACGAGAAAGAGAGAGAGGGAAGGAAAGAGAGAAAGGAAGGAAGGAAGGAAGGAAGGAAGGAAGGAAGGAAGGAAGAAAGAAAGAAAGGAAGGAAGGAAAGAAGAAATAAAGAAAAGAAAGAGAAGGAAAGAAAGAAAAGAAAGAGAAGGAAAGAAAGAAGAAAAGAAAAGAGTCAGAAAAGAGAAAGGGAAGGAGGAAGGAAAAGGAATTATGGTGTTATGATCTAAATAAAATTAAACGTCAATTGCACACAGCTCTAGTAACTCAAATAGGAGTCCTGGTAAATAACGTCCTTACCTATTTAATTCCTCCCACACACAGGTCAAGTCAACTACAACAAAGCTCTTGACTTGTGATAAGGTAACAAGGACAGAAACTTTAAACTCTAAAAAAATCCTAATGTCTAATATGGAGTGTGAAAATATAGCATATGATGAAGATCAGGATTTCAGATGAAATGAAGATAATAATATATCATTGAATAAATGGTCTTGAGAAAACTGGCTAACCAGGAACAAGCGGATTATAAGTAAATAAACAGGAACCAAAAGAAATTATGAGTGAATTAACTGAGATTAATGTAATAAATATTTATAAGTATATAACCCTAAGTTTAATCATAAAGGAAATATGATTACACAAAACATTGAATTTTTTTCCCCATCCTGGGGCTTAAACTCAGGGCCTGGTCTCGGTCTCTGAGCCTCTCTGGGCTCAAGGCTAGCACTCTACCCCTGAGCTACACTACATCACCACTTCAAGCTTTTTGTGAGTAGTTTATTGGAGATAAGAGCCTCATAGACTTTCCTGCCTAGGCTTGGCTTCAAATCATCATCCTCAGATCTCAGCCTCCTGAGTAGCTAGGATTACAGGCATGAGCCACTGGTACCTGGTTAACTTTGAACTTTTTGAAATATGATTTTTTTCAAAAGAAGCCAAATATACATTACAAACTGGAAAATATTACAATAATACAAACAAAATGTCCACATAAAACAAAGTTCTTATTAATAAAGAACTCTAGGGCAGGGCTGGGAAGGTGGCTCAGTGGTAGAGCGCTTGCCTTGCATGCCTGAGGCCCTGGGTTCGATTCCTCAGCACCACATAAGCAAAAAGAAAAAAAGCCGGAAGTGGCGCTGTGGCTCAAGCGGTAGAGCGCTAGCCCTGGGCTGAAGAGCTGAGGGACAGCACCCAGGCCCAGAGTTCAGGCCCCACGACCGGACCCAAAAAAAAAAAAAAAAAGAACTCTAGGGCATCACTAACATATGTTAGATACAAATAGGAAAATGCATAATTCTCAAAGACTTTATATAAAATGTCAACAGGATTTAAAACAATAGAATGGCTCTTTTAATTGATTAGCAAAGTTTTTTGTTTTTTGTTTTTGCTAAAAGGGAAAATTTCAGAATATAACTGAAAATGGGGCAATCAGTAGACCTGCTGAAGTGAGATAATTTGATATGGTTAATTTGAGACAAAACGCACAGGTATGTTATCTCATTTATTTAAGTTCTTTTCATATGAACCCTTGTATTTCTCCAACTCTCCACTGAGCATATCTTTCACAAAAAGGCTTTGTTTATAAGACACCTGTAGGAGAATCTATAATTAAAAGATTTACTTCCTTGTATTTGGCTGGATAGAATTTCTTGCCATTCTCTGTTTACCAAAAATATGCAGTTGCACCTGTCAAGATTAGCATTTGTTTACATGGGCTTAGTTTCTAAGCATACTTTGCCACACAGAATTATTCTGCTTTGAGGGTTGTTTTCTTTTAAGGGAAGCTACAAACTGGTTTTCAACAACAAAACACATTGCAGAAAACACTCAAACACATGAAGGCTGAACAATATACTTCTGAATGACGCATGGGTCACTGAAGAAATAAAGGAGGAAATCAGAAATTCCTTACAAATCATCATACAGGAACATCTGGGATAGGCAAAAGCAGTGCTGAGAAGCAAGTTCATAGCTCTAAGCACGCTTATAAAGAAAACAGAAACAACACAAGAGGCAACTAAAGCGTTAGAAAAACCGGAAACAAACCAATCCAAAAGCTACTAGACAGACAGCAACAGTTGGGGCAGAAATCAATGAAATTCATAAAATAACTATATATAAAATCAACTCAACAAAAAGCTGGTTCTTTGAAAAAAATCAATAAAATTGACAGACCACTAGCTAAATTGATGATGATCAGAAGAGACTCAAATCAACGAGATTAGAGATGCCAAAGAAAACATTACAACAAACATCCCAGGAATCCAAAAGATTATGAAGGAATTCTTTCAAAACCTAAATTCAGATAAGA